GGGAGGAGAGTCTTGGATATGTGGAGAACAAGAGGCTTCCTGAGATTGGCTATCTAGCAAAATTGGGCTCTGCTGGCCGGTTCTGAGTAGCCTGTTCGGATGTCTCCGGGTAAAGAAGGAGATCCTGAGACCTGTGAAACCGAGGTTCTTGACTGGGCTGCTTATGGAGACAGACATTTCTGACCAGGCTGTCTCTCTTCTGGTTCTTCCTGCTTGCCTTTGTTTCTCTTGATGGAAAAGGGGAACCTTGACTTGCTATCACTGTGACTGAGCAGCTTACCCTTTGTGGCACCCTCAGGGCCCCAGTGGCTGGATAACCCAGATTGCTGCTACTCCATAGTTCCTGAACATGATCCTGTCTGCCTCTCAAGACAAGAGCATCATTATGTAGAAACTGAACAGGGAAAATACCAACTATGGCATCCTACAATATGCTTTGCAAGGTCACTCCCACTTTTTTAGTGACATGTTCATCTCCTTAGATGGCCAGATTGCTCTCTCAGGCTCCTTGGCTAGAATGCTGTGCCTCTGGGATCTCACAGTGGACATCACCATGAGACGATTTGTGGGCTGTACCAAGGGCATGCTGAAAGTGGCCTCCCATGACAACCAGCAGATTGTCTGTGGATTGTGAGCTAAAACCATCAAGTTATGCATCAGATACCCTGTTTAATATGAGAACCACAGAGTGGGTATCTTGTGTTCGCTTCTCGCCTAACAGCAGCAACCCTATCACTGTCTTCCTGTAGCTGGGAGAAGCTGGTCAAGTTATGCAGTTGGCTAACTGCAAGCTGAAGACTAACCACACTGGCCGCAGGTTATCTGAACACTGTGACTATCTCCAGATGGATCCCCCTGTGCATCTGGAGGCAAAGATGGCCAGGCCATGCTATGGGATCTCAATGAAAGCAAGTACCTTTACATGCTAGATGTGGGAGCTTCATCATCAACACCCTGTGCTTCAGCCCCAACTGCTACTGGCTCTGTGCTGCCATGGGCCCCAGCATCAAGATCGGGGACTTAGTGGTAAATATCATCATAGGTGAACTGAAGCAAGTAGTTTTCAGTACTGGCAGCATGGCAGAACTGCCCCAGTGTACCTCCCTGGCCTGGTCTGTTGATGTTCAGATTTTGTTTGCTGGCTACACAGACAACCTGGTGTGAGTGTGGCAAATGACATGGGCACCCGCTAGAAGTTTATGGCAGAGCTTTAGAAATTAAAAAACAAAAAAACTGGGAAAAAATGTGGGGAGTCTCAGGTCTCACAGGGAAGGAGAGTGTTTCCCTAGCTATTTGTTTTTGTTGAGGTCCCTAATTAATCTCTCCTGCTGGTGGTGTCTGGCTTCCTTGATATTGTCAGAGGGACAGCTATTCTATTCTGGGAGGAATTAACTTACGTGGGCTGCCTTCTGCTACTATGCTGTGGCTGAGAAAAACCATGTGTGGGTGGCCTTCTTCACTTGGGTGAGGTAGGCATAAGACATCCTGCCTCTGTGTTGTTCTTCTAGTTGTAGGGTTTCGAAAGAGTTTGCCTTCTTCTTTCCACCTTCCAGAGTTCTTTGGTTATCACTTGCATTGTCTGTTTATATTTATATTTAGTGGGGAGGAATGGGAAAAATGGTCTATGCCATCTTGTCTGGACAACAAGCTGGATTTTCCTTCTAATTTCAATTTCTGTGGCATGTGAGTGTGGAGGTAAATGTGAGGGGACATACTGGCTGGGGTTGAGTTTGGCATTGTTGGAGGCCCTGAGATTTATTCACATTTAAAAGAGTTCATCCTGTACTCCTGGACTTAAATTTCATTCAGAAGTTCATCACAGAGCTCTGGAAAATTGTAATTCTGTGCTGTCCTCCCTGTGTTTTCTAAATCCCTACCCTATCTTTAGATATTTGCTTGACTTTCCCTAGTTTGGTCTATTCACTCTGCCTGCTTCTTTTCATATTGGAGGATCTATTGTGAATTCTCAGGATTTTATTAACTTTTCTTTGCCAGAATATCTTCTGGACTGGTTGGGGTAGTATTGGACTCACTAAAACTATGGTGTGAAACTTATGGCATAAGGTTGTACTCCTTTATTTGTTGGTGATATGTTTAAATTTTTGTTTTTTCTTAAAATTTTTTTTTCACTATTGTCAGTAGGAGTTTTTGAAGTATAGCTTGATTATGAGATTTTTGCAATTTTTACATTTTCCTCTGACTTTTGACATTGCTAATGATGGCGGCAGCAACCCATCTGGAGCAGCTGCTGTGGGGATGCCAGCTGTGGCTGAGAAAGTGTGGCCAGGGCTGTACCAGCTGGGGCTGTGCACTCTGTAGAGCCGGCAAGGGCTGGGAACAGGCGGGAGCCTTGTGCTCCTTGGTGCATCTGCTGTTGCCCGACTGTGGCTCTGGACCCAGATATCCCTGCACTCTTGGGGACCCAGGAAGCCCCCTGGCCCTGCAGGTTTGAAAGTGCCTGCTCTCACTCCTTGGCCTCTTCCTGCTCCTGGCGCCCACTCTAGGGTGGAGCAAAGTTGTGGTCAAGCCCAGGTACTGTTGCAACCCAGCCAGGTATGTGTGTGCTCACGGTGGTGCTGACATGCCAGCCCCTTGCCACTGTGGTTCCCTCTAGACTTTAGGTACTGATGAGCATGGGAGGGGGTGCCGCAGGGGCTGAGGGTGGCTTGGCACTGGCCTGCAGGCACCTCTTGGCACAGACAGTTTGGGTGCTATCGATGGCATGTTAAAGGCAGACAGGTTCCTAGGCAGAAAGTGGTGGGTCCCCAGTAAAACCTCACCTCAGGCCAGGGATGGCCTGAAGCCTGGGTGCTGGGCTCTCAGTTCCAGTTGATGTCTGTGCCCAAGTGAGAACTTCGTTGATAACCATTTGGCCAATTGGATGGTGCTTTTTCCAGGCCCACTTGTGGCTGTCCATGGACCAGTCAGTATGCAGTTCTTTGATTCTGAGCACATAAAAACCCCAGGCTTAGCCAGACTCAGACACTCATCCAGATGACCTGCTTGCAAAAAAGAACTACCCACTACGGGTCTTCTTTACTGAGAGCTGGATGCTCGTCAGGACAAATTGCCTGTGGAAGGAGCTACCCACTACAGGTCTCCTCCCTGCTGAGAGTTAGACATACATTAGGACAACCTGCCTACAGAAAGGACCTACCCACTTTGGGTCTCCTGAGAGCTATTCTGTTGCTCAATGAAGCTCCTCTCTGCCACACTCATCCCCTAGTTGTCTGCATATCTCATTATTTCTGGACAAGGGACAAGAACTTGGGACCCACTGAATGGTGGGACTAAAAGAGATATAACACAAACACGGTGGAAACATGCTCCCTGATCGCCACATTGTGTGTGATGAGAAAGAGAGAAGGGCTGTGGCACTTCTAGGAGCCCAGATCTTGGAACCCCCTGAGCCAGGGCTGTGACACTCTGTAGCACCCATTTTGGGACTCTGTGGTTCCTGGTGTCTCTGAGCTTTCTAGTGCCATTGCGTCCTACCTGTCCAGACGCTACAGAAGCCACTTGTGGTACATATGGTCCAGGTTCAGTCTTGCACAGAGCTGGTGCCTGTGCTGGTGCCTGGAGCTGCCTGTCCTGTTGCAGCTGGTGCGCCTGGCTGTGTGCAGTGGACGTATCCTGCACTTGCTGGCTCATAAACCGCTTGCTGCTCCGTGCCTGGCTCATCCTTGGCAGGTGTGGGATCCAGGCCAGTAGTGTGAGCTGAGTGCAGCCGGTGGTCCAAGTGGATGGAATGAGCTCAGCTGGCACAAGCAAAACCCAAGTAGAAGCAGCACTGGCCACAGAGGTTTCTGGTTGGCAAAGCAATACCCAAAGGATCCTGTGACACTAATATCTTTTTTTTCCTACTGACATCTATGACTCTGCCAGGCCCCTGTTATATTTTTGCTTGCTTAATTTCTATCCTTTGGTTGGCCTCTCCTTCTTTCAATCTTGGAGGAGGCTTGAAAGTACCTGCTCTTACTCCCTGGCCTCATGGGTTTTGTCCTTGACTCTCTGCTTTTCTGTCAACATTCAGTTTGTTGGTTTCATCAGTCAACTTTAAGTAATTGACTCTCAAATTTGGATTTTTAACCTTAGTATTTTACCTACAGGTAAAATTTCCAGCTGAAATTAATGTAGTTTACTCAAAGTAGCTCCATATTCTTCTTGTTTCATTTCTATTGATATTGTCATGATTCTTTATTTCTAAAGCCTTAAAAATCACATTGAATTGTCTCTTTTGTTGACTAAATCCATTCACTAGGTTAAGAATCTTTCATTTTAATTCTCATTGACATTGTCAATTTTAGATTTTCATTTCTCAAGCTATATTGCTATAATGGGTTCTTATGTCTCATTAGCTGCCAAATCAAAATTTATCTTTGTGTCTCTGTCTTTTTATTAAACTATAACATACACACATGTACAAATCATAAGTGCTCAGCTTGATGAATTTTCACAAACTGAACATACTTGCTTACCTAGCACCAGCAAATTAATCTTTTTAAACTGTTGTGTTCATGATCTTGGTTTTCAAAAATTGTAACCTTGTGTTGACACAAATTAATTCAAGGAGTTTGGGCTTTTTAGTTTCTTGAGCAGAGGACTAGCCGAAGATAATTTGGCATCCCATCTCTCACTACTTGGCACATAGAGTTTGATTTTGGAGACATTTGCTTTTTTTTTTTTTAACTGTACCTCATACTCACTTTTTTTTTTTTTCCCTATACTGCTCTATTTCCTGAACTACATTTCCCATTTGACTTTTTATAGTCTAAATCATGGTCACTATTTCAGTCCTAATTTGTATATTGCCATTTCTAAGAAATTTTCTGGGTGATTCCAACTTTAATTAATTTGCAGTAATATTTGCAACAACAACAACAAAAACCCAGGAAATGTCTGAAATATCTACCAACAGGAATTTTCCTTTTTTTCTTTCTTTTCTTTCTTTCTTTTTTTTTTTTTNAAAAAAAAAAAAAAAAAAAAAGTAAATGGTAGGCAGAAATAACTGGTATAAAGTGACATCAGCACTCTAGGGCTGCAGCATTGTTAATCAGGCTCTAATTAGGGAGTCTTGTTTTAAAGAAAATTGGTGCTTCACAGGAAGAACCCCAGCAGTCTCCTAACTGGTTCTACTATCTCCTGGTATACTTGAAGAGGGGAATAGCACTGCAATTTCATTAGTGACCCAGAAAAAGCCAGCTGGTAAACCCTAGTGCCCTGTTAAGTCATATTTTTTTTTCCTAGTGGGATGCTGATGAACAGGCATTTAACACAACTGTGAAGCAGCTGCTGTCACGCCTTCCGAAGCAAAGATACCTCAAATTAGTCTGTGATGAAATTTATAACATCAAAGTAGAAAAAAAGTAAGTTATCACTTGGGCATAGCAGGTTTCACATGGTTAAAATTCAGGGAGGTGGTTTCAGAGTGACATTATTTTGTTGTCTTGTTGAGGCTTGACACCTAAGCTGTTGCTAGAACTGCAGGTGACAACCAGTCAGTCTTGCTTGGACTGTGAATCACAGTCATGATCTTGTCAATAAGAAAACACAGGAGTCCTAGGAGTAGCTGTCTCAACTATACAGTTTTGTTCACCCAGGTAATTCACTTTCTATAAGTATGTTAAAATTAAAGAAAATAACCATGACTAGTTTGCTCTGTGCCCTTATGTCATAATGCCCATCATTCATGTTATCATCCACTTAAAAAGCAACAAGGAAGCCTATGAGGTGAATAGTTATCTCCTTATTAGGACCTTACACTACAGACCCCCGTCAGTCATACCTTGTTTAAAACCTATATAATTTTTTAGTAACTAGTCTTCTACCTTGTTTTTGCTTAAATAAAGCTCCTACAAGTAAGTGTTCTAAAAATTTATTTGCTCTGTTCTTCACTCATTAAACTGAGTCTGTCTTTTTAATCTTTTCCTTTCTTTTGCAGGGTGTCTGTGCTATTTCTGTATAGCTACAGAGATGACTACTACAGAATCTTATTTTAACCCTAAAGAACTGTCGTTGACCTCATTCAGACAGAGGCTTATACTGGAATAATGGAATGTTGTACATTCATTGTCATTCAAAATTAAATTCTAAGACGACGCTGGGCACAGTAGTTTACACTTGTAATCCTAGCATTTTGGGAAGCCAAGGCAGGAAGATTGCTTGAAACCAGGAGTTCAAGACCAGCCTGAGCAAAAAGCAAGACCCCCATCTCTACAAAAACTAAAAAAATTAGTAGGGCAAGGGGACATACACCTGTAGTCCTAGCTACTCCAAAGACTGAGGTGGGTAACTTGAGCCTGAGGAGGCTGAGGCTGCAATGGGCTGTGACTGCGCCACTGCACTCCAGCCTGGACAGAGCAACACCCTGTCTCAAAAAAGAACAAAAAAAATTCTAAGAAGCTGTCCTACAAAGTTGAGCTTTGTTAGTTTTTCATGTGTAATATATTATAAATTTATCTTTTGGGATATAATAAATGCTTTCATATACCTGCTGCTTTTTAATTGTAAATCTGTTAACACTAAAGGTTGTTTGGAGCTGGAACATAAGATAATAGCCTTCTCTTCCCTTGGCCGTTAGGACTAAGCACCTGAAAATATCCAAACTAAAGGGCATAAAGAAACCAAAAATCACTATTTGGAACCTATATTCTTGATGACTTTGTAGTATGTTTCTCCTAAGGTAGTTAAACTCTCATTTGACTATGAGTACTCATTCAAACTTGGTAAAGGAACTATGATGATAAAATTATACAACCAGGTAGGAAGCAACTCATGAAATAACGTGACTTTTTACAGGTTCAATTCCAATAACCTAGAAGGTATTATAGAGCTAAAGCCTATTCATTAATCACATCATTCTAGAAATAGTTATTGCCAGAACTATTAAAGTGGGGTGGTAAAAGGAATAGAGAGACGGTGCTGATAAACAGACATGTTTAATGATAGCTTGCTCTTCAGAGATGACTACAGAGACTTTTAATCTATAATCCAGGAGTATATAACCATGCAGCACAGACCAATTAACCAAATGTAAAATAAACTGGGTTCTTACTACAACTACCCTATAAACATTGCAACTATTCTTTCCAAAAGGACCCTCACTTTATGTGAAAACACCTACTGTGGGGGAACCAGAAGCCTAGCTATGTGGCCAAAAGTAAAAACCAAAGGAAAAAAATAGCAACTCAGTGGTTAATTGGTAAAAGCAAGAAATTTGTATCCTTTACTGTGCTGCTGCTGCTGCTGCTGCTGCTACTGGTGGTGGTGCTGCTGCTGGCGGTGGTACTGCTGCTGCTGCTGGCGGTGGTACTGCTGGTGCCGCTGGAGCTGGTGCTGGTGCTGCTGGAGCTGCTGCTGCTCCTTTGGTCTTCTTAGTTTTTTTCTTTTTGTCCCTCTTCTTCAGCCCATCCATGTTAGCTCTCAGTAGGTTTGAATAAGCCATCTGAAACTTATTCACTCCCTTGGAGCTCACCACAGTGCTGATCTTCTTTTTCCCATCGGTAGCTCTTAACAGACACTTGTTGTCTGCGGGCTCAAAGCCCTCCACAGTACCTTTCTTTGGAATGGGTTTGGTTCAACCATCATACTTCTTCAAGGTGATATAGACGCTGCCCGACGTCCGGCACTTCTGGAAGAGTCTGGTCAGCTCCGTCAGGAACTGCTCACTCTCCAACAACACCGTTGCGTCGTCAACTGCCTCAGCTTAAGCCCCTAGCATTAAGAGCCGGAAGCTCGGCCAGCAATGTGCTATTATTGTGCTTGTGAATAGCCACTGCACTCCAGCCTGGACAACATAGGAAGATCCCATCTTAAAAAACTGTGTACACACACACACGTAATTTTTTTCTTTATTTGGAAAACCCTAATTTTTACCATGTCTTCAAATAAGATGATTGAGGTTAGAGAGCCACACGCCTTGTTTTTCTGTGTAGCTTAGAGGATATCAGCTGAATTAACAAGAAATTAACCTCTATTATGGATGAACTGGAATGAAAAATAAAAGGTGTTTTTCTTCATTTCTTCTAACTGGCTCTGAAAGATTTTACTGCCTGAAATTCTAGGAAACTGAGGGGCAAAATAAATTCTACCATCATTTTCAGGATTTATAACAAATGAACAGGGTATTTTGGGGAAGCTTATGATAACTGATCTTTAGATGATTGTAAGTCATGCTGTATTAATTTTTTTAAAAAAACTTTTTTTGACTACACTTAACAACCAAAGAATTCACCCATTGAAACTGTACAATTTAATTGTTTTTAGTACATTCAGTTATGCAGGCACCACTACAATCAATGTTAGAACATTTTCATCACCACAAAAAGAAATCCAGTATCTACTAACAGTCATTTCTAATTTCTCCCCACATTTACCAGCCCCAGTCAACCAGTAATCTACTTTATAGATTTGCCTATTTTGAGCATTTCATATTAATGAAGTCATACAGTGTGATCTTTGTGTTTGGTCTCTTTTCACCTAGTAAAACATTTTCAAGGTTCATCCATGTTGTAGCCCGTATTGGTACTTCGTTTTCATTGCCAAATAATATTCCATTGTATAGATATTATCCCATTTTATTTATCTGTTCATCTATTGATGTATATTTGGGTTGGTTCCACTTTGTAGCTACTGTGAATAATGTTGCATCAGACATTCATATGCAAGTTTTTGCATAAACATATGTTTTCATTTCTGTTGGATATATAGCTGGGAGTTGAATTTCTGGATCATATGCTAACTCTATGTTTTACCTTTTGAGGAACTGCCAAACTCTTTTCCACAGTGGTTTCACCATTTAACGTTTCAGGTAGCAAGGGATGAACCACGTTGAATTGTTGCACCATTTAAGGTTTCAGTTAGCACTTTAGTGCTAAACTACATATCTGTGTTTTGATTAGAGACATTCTGGTGGTGTGAAATAGTTATCTCATTGTAGTTCTGATTTGAATTTTCCTGATAGCTAATGATATTGAACATCTTTTCATGCGCCTATTGGATATTTCTACATTTTTCTTAGAAAATTGTCTATTCAAATCCTTTGTTGATTTTTTGTTGGTTTGTCTTTTTATTATTGAGTTGTAAAAATTCTTTATGTCCTTTATCCAGAAGTTCCTTGTCATATATATATGATTTGTAAATATACACTCCTGTTCTACTTTCTTGATGGTATCTGTTGAAGCGTGGAAGTTTTAAATTTTGATGAAATCCAACTAACGTATTTTTATTTTGTCATTTGTGCTTTTGTTGTTGTAGCTAAGAAACCATGGCCTAAGCCAAGATTACAAAGATTTACTTGTATGTTTTATTCTGAGAGTTTTATAGTTTAAGATCTGATATTTAGGTATATCATCCATTTATAGTTAATGTTTTGTGTATGATCTAAGGAAGGCATCTTGCTTCATTCTTTTGCATGTGGAAATCCAGTTGTCCTAGGACCAATTGTTGATAAGACTTTTCTTTCCCCATGGAATGGAGTTGGCACCTTGTAGAAAATCACTTTACCGTAAATGTGAAGATTTATATTTGGTTCCTCTAGTCTAGTCCATTGATTTCTATGTTTGTGCATAGGTTATTACCGTAGTGTCTTGATCACTGTAGCTTTTAAGTACGTTTTGAAATCAGAAAGTGTGAATCTTCTCACTTTGTGCTTCTTTTCAACTTATTTCATTTCCTTTTTCTATATAGATTTTAGGATAGCTTGTCAATGTCTATAAAAAAGCTGAGATGTTAATATGGGTGTTAAATTTGTAGATCAAATTGGAGAATCTTTTTTTCTTAACAATATTAAATCTTTTGATCTGCGAACATGAATATTTCAATTTACTTAGGTCTTTTAAAACTACTATCCTTTTTATTTTTTATTTTTTTGAGATGGAGTGTCCCTCTGTCACCTGGGCTGGAGTGCAGTGGTGCGATCTTGGCCCACTGCAAACCTCTGCCTCCTGAGTTCAAGTGATTCTCCTGCCTCAGCCTCCCGAGTAGCTGGGAGTACAGGTGTGTGCCATCATGCCCAGATAATTTTTTTTTTTTTTTTGGATTTTTAGTAGAGACAAGGTTTCATCATGTTGGCCGGGCTGGTCTCGATCTCTTGACCTCAGGTGAACTGCCCGCCTCAGCATCCCAAAGTGTTGGGATTACAGGCATGAGCCACCATGCCCGGTCTCTTTTTTTTCTGAGATGAAATTTTGCTTTCTTTCCCAGGCTGGAGTGCATGATCTTGGCTCACCACAACCTCCGCCTCTTGGGTTCAAGTGATTCTCCTGCCTCAGCCCCCCGAGTAGCTGGGATTATAGGCATGCACCACCATGCCTGGCTAATTTTGTATTTTTAGTAGAGCCGAGGTTTCTCTGTGTTGGTCAGGCTGGTCTTGAACTCCTGACCTCAGGTGATCTGCCCGCCTCGGCTTCCCAAAGTGCTAAGACTACAGGTGTGAGCCACAGCACCCAGTCCTAAAATTGCTTTCAACAGTGTCTTACAGTTTTAAGCATACAAATTTTGCTTTTTTTTGGTGAAATTTATTCTGAAGTATTTTATTCTTTTTTGGTGCTTTTGTAAATAGAATTGTTTTCTAGTTTCATTTTTTGATTGTTCAATTATAGAATATAGAAATATAATTTATTTTTTGTATATTGACCTTGTACCTTGTAATATTACTTAACTATTTTTTGTTTATTTTAAAAATTTTTGTGGATACATGGTAGGTTTATATATTTATAGGGTATATGATATGTTTTGATACAGACATGCAGTATGTAATAATCACATCAGGGTAAGTGGGGTATCCATTACCTCAAGCATTCATCCTTTATGTCACAAACAGTTCAATTGTATAGTTTTTGTTATTTGATAATGTACGAGTAAGTTATTATTGACTATAGTCACCCTATTGTGCTATCAGGTACTAGGTCTTATTCTTTATATATTTTTTGTACCCATTAACCATCCCCTTTCCTCTTACTTCCCACTACCCTTCCCAGCCTGTTGTAACCATCCTTCTACTCTCTGTCTCCATGAGTTCAAGTTTGTCTTTCTGTGTCTGGCTTATGTCACTTAACATAATGACCACCAGTTCCATCCATGTTGTTGCAGATAACAAGATCTCATTCTTTTTTGTATTGCATTGTGTATATGTATCACATCTCTTTATCTATTTGTCTGTTGATGGACACTTAGGTTGCTTCCAAATACTAGCTATTGTAAATAGTGCTGCAACAAACATAGGAGTACAGATATCTCTTTAGTATACTGATTTCCTTTTTTTGGGTGTTATATACCCAGCAGTGGGATCGCTGGATCATCTGGTAGCTCATACGGTAGCTTTCTGACAAACCTCCAAACTGGTCTCCATAGTGGTTGTACTAGTTCACCTTCCCACCAGCAGCAGTGTTTCAGGGTTCTCTTCTACATGCTTGCTGTTTTCTGGTCTTCTTCCTTTCCTGTCTTCCTTTTAGGGAAGATAATTTTCTTTGGTGATATGACTTAATTTTACTTT